AGAGACTATTGTGTATGCAGCTTTGCAGACACGTACTTTCAATCACTCAGAACATTATCCTTCTCACCACTAAAAAGGAGCTGTCCCATGAATTTTGAAATACTTGTTTTACTGAGTGAAAGGAAGGCATCTTTATCCTAAGTAGCAGCTAAGGAGATTGGTAAAACTAACTAAAAAACCTCACCCCCCCCCAAATAAAACCCCAACTGAAAGAAAAAACCCTGTAAAATCAAAAAACGCAACCCACCAGTACAAAGTAAAGGCAGCTTAGGTCATTCCAATTATCACAGGAATAACTACAAAAGATTTTTAATTGCAACTACTGTGCTATCTTGAGCCAGCTGCTTATTCTAAGAGGCCTGAGGTTTTCTGCTCATAAAGCATTAATAGTATGTGCCTTTCCTAGAAAGGAAGGCTCTAAGTCTTTCTGTGTCAGATAAACTCCCAAAATAGATTTTTCCATCCAAATAAAGCGTTTTATTCAGATATTCCTTTGGATACGGCAGTGATGTTTAGAACAGCTATTCAAGTAGCTGAAGTAAGCCCTTCAAAAGAAGTCACGCAGCTCTGAGACTCGAACAAATTACGGCATGATCTCATCCAAGAGATCTAAATAGCTGGAGCATCTGCCCGAGCCACCACCAGTTTATTTAGCAGAGTTCAGCAGTTCATCAGCTCTGTTTGCACAGGCAGGTGCCAGGGCAGTCAATGAGCAGCCCTATACATGACTTAAAAAGAGGAGAGGGGGAGGCGAGTGGAACGGAGATGGGCGATTTTACCCTCATACAAATGTGCATTAGCAGGAATAAAGTCCCTGTCGAATGAGGGCAGTGCCTATGACTGCAGGAGAAGTGCAGGAACTCCTTTTTCTTGTTTTCCCAGAGAAGTATTACATGCACAAGTAACCATATTGTTAAAATTTTTTATTTGTGACAGTAAAGAAACCATTCAATACCTGATTGACAACACTTCTCTCTCCTGAAAACACTCACGGTATCTGTAGTGTTTCTCAAGTATCGCTGGATTGTTCATTGCATTAAAGTGTAAACAGCTCCATTATTAGAAAAAAAAAAAGAAAAAAAAAGAAACATTTCCATTGCTTACTCCTCTGTTAAGAAGTTCCCAATAGATCTTTAACAAGAAAGAAAGGAAAGTCAGCTGGATTTTTACAATATAATGTGAAACAGAAAACCGACAGCTGGTTTTGCATAGTTAGCCCAGAGAGGTTTTTTTTTAAGCAATTGCCCCACGCAAGTCTCACCTGCCCTCCGCGCCCCACAGAGGCATAACAGCATCACAGCACCTTGGAAATCAGAGGCACAAACTTGTTTCTGTTGTACAAATAGGGCTGTGCGGCACTGTGTTTTATTAGTTTAAAAAGAACCTGTAAAACATAGGATTACGTATTTGTAAATTATATAGCTACAGATTTTTTTTTTTTACACTGAGATTTCAGAAGCTGCAACATCAGCACACACCAGTGTCGTTCAGATACTTTATTGTCCCCAACCAGTCTACCCAAAAACCATGCTGTGGTAAAGTGACTGCACACACAGATCACCACATCTCTTCACGTGTCGGCTCTCCTCCACGCGTAACTTTGCTGTTTTCAAACAGATCAGAGGGCAAAACAAATGAGACAAATTCTTCTCCCAAAGCCACCCAGATGAACACAGCAATACCGTACATGTGCTACCACCCTCCATTCCAAACCTGCCCCGCTTCCTGGTGGTTACCGAGGGTTCTGCGCACAGCCCTAGTTTACAAATGGGAATTTAACCGTAACGCTTCTGCTGAATGTCAAGAATCGAAGGCATTCTGCCTTACAGCTTAATTTAAGAATACCTATACAGGCAAAAAACCTTTTTGAACCCGACATAAAAAGGACAACGGAACTTCGGGCCAGGCAGCATTTCTTTAGCTGAACAGAATGACCAACCGGAAAAGACTTTTTATGCTACTACTGCTTCTATAATATCCAGAACTAGAATTGAAAGGCAGGGTTTATAACAGCCCTGGCAACCTGCATGCACTTCAAAATATGCAAGATTTAAGAAATAAGGGTTTTTGTTTTTTTCCCTATTTTATTTTTTAAAATCTTGTATTTAAAATACAATCAAATACCCGTATTGTGAATTTTACAAACATTCCACTCCTTTATCTGGCTTCACGGACAGAACTCTATTGCTTTGTTAAAACCGAGAAACTCTAGATACACAGCGTATGCAGATTCACGCAAACTTAAAACCTTGGAATCTCAAGTACGATGAGAGTGTCAAAACAAACAGCTCGGACAGTTTGATCCCTTTGGCCAAATTTGAACACCCAGGGAAGTCCAAACCTGAGTGCAGAGCACTCCAAGTTTTAAATTCGATGGGAATGAGTTAAAAATAAATTAATCAGAAGTTATAGAAGATACTCTTCAGATACTAGCAGAGATCAAAACTGTTGCTAAGTTTTTCACCTTTGTATTACCACCAAGTGTCACTTTAATGCTGTAGTAAGTTAAAATAAGGGTTTTTTAAAAAAAACCTGTGGATTTCAAGACCCAAAATAAACAGAACAGAACAGGTGTGGTTGTACAGGACATCATCAGAACGTTCTTCCCGACGCTGGTGCCGAAGTTCAGTTGTCCCTTAGATGTGGATTTTAAAACAATACAAGACACTTTAATAATCAACATTCATTCACAGACTTAAGGCAACTGGTTCATGAAATCACTGCTTTCATGAATGCAAACTGATGGCGTGGTTCGTCTCACGTACAACAGGTCACAACCGTTACATGGCAATGTCTCGGCGGGGTTATTTGTTGTCCAATTGGAAGATTGTTTGGTCTAATGCTAGCGAGAAAAAGTCTTTGAGTTTTTTTTCAGCCATTCCTATCATACCTGCACACCTAACTACAACCTGAATACTTCCCTGCAAACCGTATTTGCGGCCCAGGAGCTACAAACACAGTTGAAAATACTGCTCAGAGAACAACTTTTTGGCAGCTTACAGTTTCATTACTCTGAAGTCAAATACAAAATTAAACAATCTTAAACTGAACGTAAACGTTAATGGACTAACCAGAATCCACACGTCCTTTTTTCCTCTCCGTTTTTTTTTAAACAATATAGGCTTATTTTTTTTGTTGTCATCTGACAGTTTAGTCTTGTGGCACAGAACGATACAGTACTAAGGTGATGCCAGCTGGTAAGAACACGAAACGGTGACGCCGGACAGACTCACGGGCGTCGCGGGGCTGCTCCCAACAGCCCTCGCGACGAGACACAGCTGGAGCACAGCTGCACTGCAAGGGCCAAGTCCTCTTTCGGTCTGATACTGCACCGACGACGACCTCCTCACTGCCTGTGTAGGCTGGCCTGCCCTTCTATGAATAAATCTGTTAAGCTGCTTCAGCGATGTTGGAGACGAGGATGACCAGCCAAGGCCATCGCAAAAAATGTTTTGTCCAAGTCGTCAAGACTTTTGGAGAAAAGCAGAAAAGGCAAAGAATTTCTATGCAGAATTTAGCACTAGGCTAATTAGAAGCACCAATTACTCCATTTAGTTTTCTCTGATGACAGCCAAATGTAGCTGGAATATTTATGTTGGTAGATTTCTGGTGCGGAAAGTAATTAAAAGGTGACACTGGAAAGGAAGGAAAAAACAGATGTGCCTTGTTCTTCAAAGGCTTACAGTATTTAAAGTTATTCTTTTGAAAGGGTACCTATGACACTGCAGAAGATGCTAAGCAGGTTCTCGGCTTCAGAGATGAGATGTACTCAACTCCAAAGCCAAAGGACCACTTTTAGTCTAGGGTAAGGAACTTCTGCCCTTCTAGCAAGGCTTGATAAAGCTCCCAGTCTGTACCTGACACCTTGAGGAAGAATAAACGCTAATCAGAGATGTGGCAAAAACACTTTTTGCTGGTTTACATAGCATGTAAAAGGAGAGGGCGTCATCCTAATTGCAAAAAAAATACATATATAGGAAAAAAACCCCCTTCCTTTGCAGGTCACCTTTAACTGAGTTCTCTGGTATATCAGATACCATAGGATTAATACATAGGGGTGGGTTATGAAGCCTGCGTTTTATTTATTGCCCAAGTTTGCAGCTTAAAGAAAATGTTTCATAGCACAGGCACAGTGGCAAAAACAGTATAACAGCCGATGGTCAACTCCATTTGGTGAGTGTACAGTAGCAGCAATTAAAAGAAAAAAGTACTCCAAACAGCTCAATACAGATCCAGCTTACCCAGATGGGTTGGTTTTTAAGAAAAGAATCTCAAAACTAATAAATAGACCTCCTCCCCATTCTCCCAAGATAAGGTTTTCCAAAAAACGAGAGGCATGGCAGTTGTGCGTAAGCAGAGACGATAGAATTAATCTGTCAAGAATAAAAGGTGCTTTAGATCTATCAGCCACCTGGTCTTCTCATTTCATCACTCCTTAATACTCAAACAACTGCAGATATGTTCAAAACTGTGCCCAAAATCCTATCAGCGAAACAACCGTGTAATTAACCCAAATCACTCCTCCCACAAATGCTAAAACCTTCTGAGCACGACAAAACGTAACACAACTTAATGTCACTGTGGAGACAGGAACCCAGCATCTTTGTTTCAACTTTTTCCTTTGTTATATATTACAGTGCTCTATAAAATTTTTCCTTTTTCCTTTTAAAGCATTTAGACAATACAAGACTAAAAGATGTCTGGAAATACGTCTTATACAAAAATGAATTTTTATCTTAAAATAACATTCAAAAAGGCACTTCATTCTGTAAGAAAAAATTCAGAGTCAGGTCAACTGCTCTAAGCAGGGGGGTAAAATTGTCTGCATAGTGGGAGGGGAAGAAAGGGAGAGAAATTCAACTGCTGAAATACAAGCTTCTTTTTTTTTTGGCATGTTTTAAGAAAAGCTGATCCAGTAAAAGATGTCCATTTATGAAATTCATTAAAAGAGTCCCATTTAAAATAGCTTCTTTTTTTTTTTCCTTTTTTTTTTTTTTCCTTTAAAAAAAGTAGTCTGAACACATGACCTTAGGAGTCAGGCTTCTGAAGGCTTTAGAGCATCACTCATGATTGTCCTTCGTGTCCAATGTAACAGGAAGATCAAGAGTAGCACTTCTGACAGGGGTGACCTCCCCAAAGCTTACATTTGAAAGAGTTGGAAAAGATGGAGACAGCCTCTAGCAACTGCAATCTAGGAGCAGAAGTCAGTCAAAGTTAAGGGCTACCTGTTGCAGAGTTTATGAAGCATACTGTAAACTTCTTCTTCTTTGCTTAGTCCTTCAAAGAAAGGAATAAGATCTAGCAGCTCTGTGTCTGTCATGTCATCAAACCAGGACTGCACAGGCACCTGAAACAAAGCAACCAGTGAACGTTAAGATGACTTTGTGATGCGAGGAACACCTGAATTTTGCCTATGTGGATGTCCTGTAATACTCATGGCCACCACAGTAAGGCAAATCACTTGTCACTAGCATTTAAGTGGAGTACCAGGTTCAAGTCCATGCTTTCCAGTATGCAACATCAACATCCCAACCATAGAACAGTTGACTTTCCAAATCCAACCATGTAACAGCTGACTTTGGTCCTGGTCTGACCTAAATAGAGCTAATTTTCTATTTAGTGATTTTTCTTTTCAGCTCAGTCTCTTCTAAGTGGCTGAACTTGCTGAAACCAGCAGCTTGTTTTTCCAGACACTGTGTACTGCTACAAGTGATCATCACAAGGCCACTGTCTCACCGTGGGTGCTGTATCTGCACTTATGGGGAGGAGTGGACCCAGAACTGACCAACGAGGTATTCCATCCCACACATGTCATACTCAGTATAAAGCTGAAGGATCATGAGGGTCTCGACCCTTCCATCTTGGACCCTTCCTTCTGTCTTGACCCCTTCAATGGCTGAAGTCCTAAACCACGACAACTTTCCAACAACCTGCTGAAATGTAGCTGACCTTCTTCTACCCGTCCAGGTAACCTACATGACTCAATTTGCTCTGCCTCTTTGATACTCAGAACAGACTGGAAGGAAGATACAGGTTAAGAAGTTGCACTGATATTTTATTTACAGGCAAGTCTTCTTTTCTCCACTAAGAATTACCAGTGTGAGTCACTAAACACAGGCATGCAGCAACAACCCCTGCTGGCACGAGGTTGCAGAGGAAATATTTAAACAGTGAGCACAGAACAGTTCTCCCAATTAAAATATAAGACCTTGAGAGCAGGTTCAGAAAATAATGCATATAATAACACCTAAATATGTGGGCTGGATCTGGGGAAGGAGTTCTGTGTATCTTCATTATAGAAGGATACTGAGGCCTTTTAAATTAAGACTATCTTGGATCTTGTTACAAGCTCTGGTTTCTGCAGAGACTCGAGTAGCAGTTAGCTAGCAGCACTTTTCTATACACGATTAAACCACTCTGACAAGGCCCTTCATTTCATCTCCCAAATTTCTACAGCTCATTATTTTCTTGGCACTGAATTCCGAGATACCAAATGACGATCTGGATCGGGTTTTTAATTCTAACCACGAACATAAATTAGAGCTACAGCTCCTGGTTATTATAAATAGAACCTTTAAAACATTTGTGGCACCAACCAGAAAAATGTTTTCACCCAAAACTTTAGGCCATCAAAGTATCTGGATCTGAATATAAAAGCTGATCACTGCAAGATAAATAGCTCACATAAAAAAAAAAAAAAAGCTATTCCTGAGAGGCAGGACCATGCAAAACAACTCCTCTGATAAAAATTTCCTATGTTAATTTCAACATTTCACAAAAAAGGCAGCCTAAAGCCATCAAAGAGAGCACTGCACAGCCTGGGTGTTTAAAAGCCAGTAATGTAAGGGGAGCTGCAGGTTGCTGTCCTGTGCAGAACAGACCTGAGCATCTGCACTGACTGCAGCAATGGGGGCAGCAAGTGCCAGACCCTTCCTGGTCGTTTCTGGATCCGACAGGAAATACACAGTGAAAATGTGCATTGCTCCTAATTAAACTCTCTTGCAGTACTGTTGCCCACCTTTTGTCCTTATTCCTAAAGCTTGACAAACTTGTTGACTAACACTTTCAACTATGAAGTGAGTAATCACAAAAATACTTAAAAGGAGAAGCACAAAAACACAACAGGATCTTGGGTTTTTTCCTTCCTCTTAGCGACAAATGCAGAACTCGGATAATAACCAGTAAAGCATTAGTTATCTTGTCTAATGAAATACTTTCATTCACACAGTGAAAAAAGATGGAGCACCACGAGCAGTTCAAGTAAACCATCCTTTCTGTAACCACCACAAGGAACAAAAACTACGCTGGAGGGCGGCTTCACTTTTTAGAGCGAGGCGAGTTATTCAGGTTCCTACACCATGTGGCATTTCTCAAAACTGATGGACTTCATGCCAAAAACTAAACCAGAAAGTAGATGAACAGTCATGACTACGACATGCTGTCAAGATCAATTTGCCTTGGTCCTTCACCATTCAGTAGTGAATACTAAAACCTACCTGCAGTCTAAGGAAACACAGAAGCTAACACAGGTAGCATTCTGAAAGGCTATTTTCTGAATCAGAAATTCTGGGCAAGGACCAAAAATACAAAGTTATGCTTGAATACTCTGAATACTAAGAATACTTACTGCATTTTCAGGATGGAAGATGTACGATGCAGGAGAATTATCTACTATAATAACTTTACTCAGCTCACGTCCCAGCCGACTCAGATCCTTCACATAATTTCCTCGGTGGAAAACACAGGATTCTCTAAAGAGCCTTGCCCTGAACACACCCCAGCGATCCAGTAAGTCGGCTACTGGGTCTGCATACTTAAAAACAGAAGTTAGAAACATCGAGTTAGCAATGCTCAGATAAGGCTAATTCACAGAGCTCTACAAAGAAGGGACGCAAAATAATTTCAGATAAAATGCCCTTTTCTTCATTTTCTACCCTGCTCCTTGTTAATTAACTCACAAGCCTGCAAACCTGAAGTGATTAATAGAGAGATAAGGCAAAAGTAGGACAGTTATCTTTCTGTGGAAGGCTCACTTGCACATTAATGTTTTCCATGATTTATCGATTAGGTTTTATTCTTAGGCCCAACTTATAGTTAACCCTAGAAGTTACCTTGAAGTTGATGGATCCAGAGATCTCACCTAGTATTACCATAAAACCAACTAACACTAACAGAAAGTCTACATAAAGCCGTTTTCCCCACAGCTGATCCATTTCCATGTGTCTCTGAAGATAAACTGCAATGGAGGAAACTGAACTTGATCATTTTCTCAAACGATGCCCATGGAGTCACTGGGTCAGTAAGAATCTTAAGATTACCAAATTGCATAATTGGGCCATAAAAGATCAGACAATCAGGAAAAACACCCACCTACAATAGTGGGAAATTCTCATCTTATATAGAAGATGATACTTTAAGTGAGGCACAGCTTTGAATCCAACAATTGATATAAACTGTCCAAGGAAAAGTCTCCAAATAAACCAGGATGTGAAATAACTGTGTACTTGAAAGTGATAGTTGCAATCTACTTTTGCAGGATAGGAATTACCATTTTCTTGTATTTTAAACCCAGAAACAAAATTGATGTTGAAATCAATCACCTCTTGACTATGAAAACTGCGAGACATCTGACTGTGAGTGAAATTGTTCCACTGTTTCAGATTTTCACAATGTGACTGAACACAACACAGTAAACAGCGTGCAGGGAAGAAGCCTCTGATAAAAAGGCACTACAAGACATCAAACAGGGTCCTGTCCCCCTCCACCATCTCTATGCCAGGTTGGAGCAAAAGCTTACTAATGCTAGAGTATTATTTAGAAATAATCAATATAAATTTACAAACAAGACACCACAAATACAATACACTGAAAGAAGTGAAGAATTTAGGATGTCTACTACTGTAATGTCTACCACAACACTACCTACGAGGCACTACAGCTACTGGGGACCAGAGGGCACAAAATATTCCTGTGGATGTTTCAAGCTTTACACAGCGTCTGATTTTCTAACTCCAGATTGCAACTGCACCTTGACAGAACGAAAACGTGTTCCTGGTTTTGAGATGCAGTAAATTTCTGAGTCACCGGTTGATCGTGTGGATAGCATTAAATACAGTGTATTTTATTTCATGCCCAGCTTTAATATACTGCTTTACTCGCACGCTACTTGTTCTAATTTCTCACTATAACCATGGTAACTTGTAAGCCTTTCATATTGGCATTATGAGCAATGCATGGAGGCTACATTATGAGACAAGCCCATATGTGATGGTGTTACCATGGAAACACTTACCCACACACTAGCAGACAAAGTACACACTGTCAGACAAAGAAGCAGAAAAGAAGGGGAAAAATTAAGATAGTACCAACTGCGGAAATAATTATCCATAGAAAACCCAACCAAAAGTCCACTGACCGGCACCGTAAGTGCTAATCAGATGAAGAGAGGAACAAACCTTGGCCAGACTGGCTGTGAAGAGTACACATTCAAAGAGCTCGCCCATCCTCTGAAGAAACTCATCCACATGTGGTCGTTTCAATACATAAACCTGGAATGACAATGATTATTTAGGTCAAATGGTGTTTAAGGAAAAAAATCAACAAGCCAAACCAAACCACTCCTGTAACCCTAACACTTGAAGAAACAGAAGTTAACACGGAAGCAGTTCAAATGAAATGCTGAAAGGAAAAAACCCAAAAAGCATACAAGATAAAAGTAGACATCCAATAACGAGAAATTTGAATGCACGGGCTGCCAAGAGCCATGCTGATTATGCAACTGCAAATACCGTGCATCATCTGGAGTGATGCTTCTTGAAAAACCTCATTAAAAGGCAAAGAGAGACAGTGGGGCTTCTCAAGAAGTGAGGACTCAGATCTCTCAACCAAAATGATTGTGGTGCTGGTGTCTTCAGTCCTGAAGGGCTTTAGAGAAGGAATTAATCTGATGAAACCTCTACAATGACAGGAATTGCACAACAGGGAACTGTTTTCTTCCTGTGGCTAATTCGTTCAGTTTTTAAATTCCAGGCGCTAATACCGTATCTCACTATGGACAGTCATCAGTCATCTGGCTCTGCAGAGAGCCGTTCCCAAAAATCCTTCACAGCACCATGCACAATGCCCAGCAAATGCTGCTTCTAAAATTCCGTGGCAAGATCTACAGCATCTTCTACCATGACCTGGCAAAAGGTCTCACATGGTGAGACACTGGCCCAGGTTGCCCAGGGAAGCTGTGGATGCCCCCTCCCTGGCAGCGTTCAAGGCCAGGCTGGACAGGGCTTTGAGCAGCCTGGGCTGGTGGAGATGTCCCTGCCCATGGCAAGGGTTGGACTGGGGGGGCTTTAAGGTCCCTTCCAACCCAAACCATGCTGTGATTCTATGACCTGACCACAGAGATGGCAAATACTCAGCATCTCGAGCTGCTTGCTGTCCGCAGCACTGTCTCGCCTTTTTGCACTGATAACCATGGAGGCAGCTTGGCTGCCTACTGTCAACAACCTGATTAATAGATACTAAAGTCTCCTTGCTTCTCTTTCCAGAGTGAGCAAGATGATTTGTGTGCACAGAAAATACCAAGATTAGATAACTGCTGCTCAGCAAGCTCAGGAGGAGTTCACAATATACTGGGAGGCTGAAGAGGGGAGTCTGCTCGAGAAATATTTATCTGTCTTGTTTGCAGTTGGATTAAAAGTCTGAGAGAAAACACTGGCAGCATTTTGTCTTCTTCATTTGCCAAATAATCCTTAATACTGGCAATTTCAAGTGGACAAGTCTGGCATAGAACTGAACTGAGGAAGAATTGCAAGACTGGAACAATCTCAGGAATTTCTTCCTTTGATACGCAGAACTAGATTAATTGTATGTATTTTACTAGATTCGTATTAATAAAAAGGTAAAAAACGTAAGGCACGCAGAGAAAAAGCCCGAAGGAGAAAATAAGGAAATGCCAGCTTGAAATGATGTAGAACAATTAAAGCCTTCAGCAAAGGAAGAAAAACAAGGTGTGTAAAAGGGACATGAAATTGAAAACCTGAATCTGAAAGCAAAGTTTTAATCAAAACATGTATGATGGAGCTGTACCTTAATGACTAAAGCAGAAACGTTAATTACTTTTCCACTGTATATAGCACAAAGCTCATAGCATGAAGACTTGATCTGCTTGAAGTTATTCCTCTGAAGTTTAACTAAACTATTTCTGGGCCCTCACATTCAAGCAATACATTCAAACGTTGATACAGATAACAATTAATGAAGAAAATAAATAAATCTGGGTTAAACAACCACAGCAGCTCTTAAACCAATCAATTAAATAAATGTGACAGTTTATGAATTAAAGACAGTTAACAGACGTACTTCAACACCGCTCTCTTGCCAGATAATTACAGCAGTTTCCTGTATTTCACTAGATATAAACCAACTAATTTCCTCTCCTATAGCAATGCAATTAATTTTTCAATTAAATCGTACTACACAAAGCTGTTCTGCCGCTACTTCCTTTCCAAATTACAGCTTCACATTTGTAAAGACAAGTGGAAAGACAGTTCCAGTCCCCCTGCATTTTGGTACTCAAAGACAATCTGACTTGCCAGTTATTAGAGGAAAGAGAGCAGGATGTGAGTTAATCGTTAACCCTATAGTTCTTAAGTTCTTAATTCATTAGCCTTAAAGTATTTTAAAGTAATTCTTCAATAATTAGTGCTGAAATCTGGCGTTAGTTTCCCTTTCAAAACCAAGTGTCTTCATCAGCCACAGCAAATAAGTCTCCTCTTTGCTCTCCATCCCTATCTACGCCTGTGTCGGTGAAGTATTTCCCCTTGGAATGTAATTACAAACTCCAGGCCAAGGATGTGAACTTTGCTGCTTGCAACATAACCCACCTCCTCCATAGGAGGTTAATGCCATGTTAAATGCCTTATTAATAATAAATGTGATCTCTTAGAATGTGGACTCACCAAATTTTCCCCTTAATTTTCTCCCTCTACAAAACCCCCCCAGACTTCTTCACCCATTCTGGTTTTATTTTATTATTTATTTTATACAACACTGGGTTTTTTGCAGAACAACACATCTTAATACTCTCTATGGTTATTCCCCTTGAAGTTTGTTTTTTTGAGAAGTCCTACTTAGGTCCTGAAAGCAACTGCAAGCGCTCTGGTATCCCGGGCTACAAAATCTCTTTGGTTTACTTCACATAAAAAGCTTTCTTCAGCTGACAGTGGAGCTCTTTTCTCTTCTTCCTCCTCATTTGGAATTTTTTCCCCTTTACTTTGTTAGCGGCTGGACTTGAATCTCAATGCTGCACGGTTATTTGTGGCTTGGCTTTCTCCTCCGTTGCCTGATGGCTTCAGTTGAAGTCCCTAGACTAACTGGCTCCTGGCGTTTTCTGAGATTTATCTACTGTCTTCACGGCATTTAGAAAGAAACCCTCCAGTTTTTCTGTCTTGTACACTCACTAATTTCTTCCTTATCACAGTAAGAATTGAGAGGAACACAGTCTTTTTTATTATTATTATTCAAAATGAACTCTACTCTTAAAACGTTAAGGCACAAACCAGGCACTAGGCGTGTTTTCACAGGACTCTGTACTTACAGCTGCTAAAGGCAGAACACAAGTAATTATCTTTAATTGTTTTCAAGCATTTGGTATTTCCACATACATTTTCTATACCTCAAAGCAGCCTTAACCTCAAAAGACTCAACATTTGTAAACCGAAAGAGAAACCCCGCTTCATTTTCATCAACTAGAACAGTGCACAAAGAATTGCCTTTCAAAACCAGCTTTACAATAACGAAATCTTCAAGTAAGAAATCTGCCCGTGATGACTCAGGCTCCTGAAATCTCCTGGTCTGTGGTTTGGGTGCATCTTCTCACCAGCAAGCAGAAAATACCACGCGTCCTCGAGCCTCGTCCTTCTGGTTCACGCAGCTGTGGCTGCCTCCCAGTGCAAGTAACCAAGAATAGGCCAGCGAGCATGGATACAGCCTATCCTGGATTACTTGAACCAGGCCACAGTCTTCTGTATGAAAATACAACATATTTTGTCCTTTATGGAAAGGAAGTTTGTTATTTGAACAGCGTTGTCCCCCACCAATAAAACACATTTTGTAGGTTATGTTCCAAGTATACCTGCCAAGACTTTCTTTAGCTCTCAACAGCTAAAAATAAGCAATTGTTAATGGAATTTAAAAAAAACCCACTTGAAAAACTAGTTTTACTCACTTAATAAACAAATTACATGAATGAAATTCCAAGTAACACCAAATTAAACTCTTCCTGGCTGCCCTCTTTACTCTTTGACACCAACAACAAGGCACAAAGGCACTGCAAGTCAATTTGGATAAATGACAAAGGACCACCATGCCCTAAAAATCTTCACTGATTGGGGATTAAAGTTGTATTTAAGATGTGGTTTGTACTCTGGGGGTTGTGATTGCTCTGCACTCGTTAAATGGGATGCACGCTCCAAAAGAGAGGATGTGCTCATGCAGAAGTTACGTCAAGGGTACCAAACTGGTTTAAAGTCTTTTCACCAACCACTGCTCCTACACCAACACCTTTCACTGGACTTCCCACAGATCCTCACGTATAATTTGGTAGCGCAGGGGACCAGCTCTGATTCCTTTTTATTCAAAAAAAAACAGGGAAATGAGAGCACTGGCCAGAAAAACATCAGCTTTTGTATCCGTGCCATCGTTCCCAGCACAAAGCATGGGATTCATCTCCCCTCACTTCAGCTGCCCCGTAGATGGGCATGGGCTCTGCAGGCAGCTGAGAAAGGGAGGTACCTCCACACAAGAGCTATTTCCTTGTAAAATAAAATGATAAATCCTGTCTAAAGACAAGGTAAATTAAGAGAAAGAAAGAGGCACAAGGGCTGTTCAGAAAAGGTATTTTATAATCTAGGGCAGCTGGTTTACCCAAGCACCCTTTAAGGTGATGATCTGAACTGTTCTCTCTATAGAATAACAAAAGTCTCTCTGACCTTTGGATTATAAGTGACATAAGGGAAAACAAACTCCCCAAACAAAAGACAGCCTTTTCTGAATACCTCTGTTGCACAACAACAACAAAATCACAACATTTACCATGAACAAAACTTGTTAGATCAGTCAGCCTCAAAACTCTACCAAGCGTACAGCGATTGGATTTGCCACAGCTTGTATTTCTGGTATATGAGATCTGAAGCATCTCATACCATTTCAGATTTCTTTCTGAAGGGGCACTTCTAAAACACTGCTCTCCATCTGTTTTCCATGAGTTCAAGTACAATGATACTCTGTCAGATAATCTCCTGCTTGGTAAGATACTGGGCTTACTGGTAAAGCTGGTACAGATACACACTATGGACAGTATGGTCCCACATTTCACATATCCCGTGGTATTTTGAACTGGTGGAAGTATTTCCCAATGCCAATGATTAATCTTTGAGTAATAAACTGCTTAAGAAAATGGACAAGCATTATACAGATGACAAATTGTGACACATAACTAGAATTGTCGTTACTGGATCAGTTTGTGCTCTCTGTGAATAAAAAATTACGGGTTTGAAGTGGGAAATGTTTGTCAAAGCTCTACAGCCTGTGTACATCAGACTAAGCCAGAACACCTCCGTTTGCCCTTTACATTATCACAGCTAAAATAAAAACCCAAAACCGAAAAAACCCCAAAGGCTGCTAGATTACAGTACATTACTTTGCCTGCAGAGGTGATTACAAAGACAAGACTCTAAGACTTTGCCTACCCCGCACACTGGATAATCACCTTTACTTCAAGAATCACAAATTCCTTACGATCAACTTCACTTCTAGCACCCAGATACAACTGAGATTTTTACCTATTTTAGGGGATGAAAACTTGAAATACAAAAGGATTAAGCAATTTCACTGAAAATTATGCAGAAAGTCTCCAACAAAGCAGTATCAGAGACCAACTTCACTTGACCTCTGCCAAGGGCATCCTTCCTCCTACCATGTTTAGGGCATGGACAAATCCACTCCCTTTGACCACTTGTTTTTGGGGGTTTTTTCCCCCATATGCAGTCATCTTGAGAGCATAACTGCATTATGTTTGGTGAAGAACCAGAGTTTGCAGCAAGGAACGGAAAAGCAACCGGCTTTTGAAGTGCTGGACTGTAAAGCCCCAATAGTTCTTTATCGGGTTTTCTTTCAAACTGGAAATGTCTGATCCTGACAAGCTAAGTGATCACAATCCTAAGCCATTCAAAATAGTTGGGAAATCAACTTTATTCCCTTTCAAAAGCATTCTAGAATATCTGAGGAAAGAAAACGTCTGTGTAACAGCATCAAACACAATTGAAGCCCACATCAAATGAGTACAGACAATATCACAATATAAATCTCCCAGAACATCCATTACGTGTTTTAAGCATTCAGCTCTGGTGAATATTACAGGTTTAAGTACCCTAGATAAGGAATTTTTCTACATAAAACGGGCAGTTTAGAAACTGTCAAACAGCTATCACTTTAAGCCACGTTTCAGTCCACTGACATACGCAGTAATTATTTTAAGCGTGACAATTTTGTGGATGGTTTTCATAGCAGGCAACCAAACAAAACTATGAACTAACTTTATGATCCACCAATTGTTCCAAGGTCAAAACACGAATCTGTTTGTCCAAGTAAAAATAATCCATATAAAAGACAACGTTTCAAAAATTAACGCATTTAAAATCTCCGTTGAATTACATCCAGGGAATACCTGCAACTCAGTAACTGCATTATCTTTAACCTACAACCAAGTAAAGATGTTTCAAACCACTTGCAGGGTTCATTTATCAGAAAGGCTCCCCTTCACATTAACCAGTAAAACCCATCTCCATTAAGAACTTTAATGTCTGTCTGAAGAGGAAAATTTACAGCACTGTAATTTATTTCATTTAATATTTCCAGAAATGACTGCTGATTAAAGACACCAAGCTCAGATACATGAAGAGGACTGATTTTCAAATTACGGGTGTTTTGCACTTACTGAAAACCATTTCAGAGTCTTAAGTGAAGAAGTTCTTAAAGAATAAGACATAAAAATTAGTCTCCTCACAATTTTGTCCAGACCTTTTAAAGATGCTGAAGTGTACAAAAAGTCCTGTTGGAGGAACTTAAATTACTTACAGAAAGAAAAGGGGACAGAACTTACACACAGATTAGCACAAAAACCACAAGAAATGGCTGTTCTTCCTTAATACTGTTAGAAAGCTTTGTCCATATGAACTACCAACAGACATTAAAGCCAACTTATGTCCCATTTGTCCGTGGAAGGAATGAGAAATGCAGTATTCAAGTTGCTTTTTCTGGGCCTAGCAATGTATGAGAACCCATCCTTAGATCATTTCACATTTCAAAATGTTTTAAAATTGACATAATTCAAATATTAACCCTGAGAGAGATACTCTGGAGAACCTAAAAAAGTTAAAATTGAGACTTAGTAGTCAGAAAATACTTACCTGATCAAACAGTTTTCACGATACCTATCAGAGCACACAGCTTTTGTATTTTGCAAAAGGACAAGTTATTCAGTGTGAAGCAGCAAACAGAGGAGGGCAATGCTCTGGGACACCTGACAGCTCCACTACCAAAACAACGCTAAAGGAACGACAGCGCTTACCTGATGTATGGTTCCATCGATTTCAACAGGAACGATGAAATCAGCATTGCTAATTGGCTAGAAAGAACGACAAGGAAATGAATCAACATTAAAAGTAAGATCATTAGAGTGAAAATTTCAGAGGTGTAAAAGAGAAGGGTATTTACTTCTCAGAAATAAATTCATAAGCATTACTGACTATACGGATCCACTCCATGTGCCCTTGACACCCAAGCCAAAAGCTTTACGCAGTTTTATCCACCAGATACTGCACTTCCCTCTTCTCTCATGTTTTTTATGCTTCAGACAATGTAATGTGCTTTACTGTTTGAATAACCCCCACTACAACTGTGGGTGTTTACCAGGATAACAGCTATTTGGATAACTCTTTCATCAAGTTACGGATGAACACTAAGATATTCAGCTATTTGCTTCACATATTCTACTCTGGGTCATCAACCAATAAATAATTGAAAACTGTGGGAAAAGTAATACCTAAAGGTTATATTTGAATCAGGAGCTGCAACAAAGGAAGACTTAAGTCGTATAGCTAAATGATCCTCAAGATGTGGAATCTCAAGAACATGCAATACCAATCAAATTAATCATGTAAAACTGCATTTTAATTCAGAAGGGAACAGCACGGACACTCTGTCCATGTCCTTGACTCAATTTTTCCAGCCTGTTGAATGCAACTTATTTCTTAAGACTTACTGTGAAACAGTAAGATCATAGACTGCTCTGAGGTACCAACAAGGAGGTGCCCTGAAGTATCTGCAAGACCAGAAACAGCCTTCAAATCCATTTGGGGAAGAGTGAGAGGTTACCAAAAAAGCAAAGAAGCAGCCAAGGTAAAGAGACGGAGAACAGGTCCCAAACTGGTAAGCCTGAACAGGTGCTCTGTGAAAAATGGTAGGAGAAAAATAATCCTGTGGTGTTGACCTGACAGCATCGCTTTGATCCCATTCCCTGGAAAAACGGGATCCTAATTCCACTGCCAAATGACCTTCCTGTGAGGAGAGCAAAATGACTCTAAAAATGTGTACCAAGGGCAACACCCTTTCTCAGCAGTGAAGTAATGAGGAAGATGGTTTGACCCAAGGTCTGAAAGTGCTGTATCAGAGGGTAAATGAAGAAGCTGCACTGAATCCACCCGCCCTGACCAACCAGCACAGGCACCCAAACCTCCAGAGCAGCCGAGGCCAGAAAACTCAATCCTGTTGATGACCACTGTGATCTAAAACACTCCTCAAATACCCACAGATACAATCCAGATTTGGGTTTTTTTTTAGCAATTTCCAAGATATATCCCTCTTTCTGCAGCTGAAAAAGATACAGGCTGGGTTGGACGGAGTTTTGAACAACCTGGGCTGGTGGGAGGTGTCCCTGTCCATGGCAGGGGTTGGACTGGATGAGTCTTAAGGTCCCTTCCAACCTGAAGCATCTCTAACAACCACAGAATGGACACACAGAAATATTCTGAAGCTTCACCTCAAAAGAAACCCAAATGAACTGTCAGAAAGACTCAGCCACCAAAGTTTTCAAGTGGGTGCCAGCTCCATGCATACTTTGAAGAGACTTGCACGCACTTGAAGAATTTATGCATGCATGACTCCCTTAAGCAAGAGAAACAGTCTGCAGCAGCAGAAAACGAGTAGGTCACTGCAAGCTGCAAAGGTTTTGAAGCCCACTGATAGAAATATAGCTAGTAAATGTACTTAACAGGAGCAACACCAACCAGATGTCAGAGAAAACCCCATTCTGTTTAGACAACCTGGGTTTTGCTAGCAAATAAAACTCATCCTTAGGCTTTGTAACACCAACCAAACTGCTCTCAACTACGTATCTGCTTCCCTCACTTGTCCTTCAGGCACTACGCAGCTTTCTTGTTGGCACAAGTGATAAGGAAGAGAGGGCAGACAGGGGTCCTGTGCTTCATCACGATGGGAAGACAGGAGAACAGTCTGCAGCGCTTTGCTGGGTGAGGGTTTCTGGGCTGCACGCGGGAAGCACGTACGTGCCTCAGACAACGCATTTCCATGGAAAATCTCTACTTCAGTTTGAGCTGCTCCTCATTAATACAAAGCTTCAGAGATTTAAATGTGCTCAAAAAGGAGTTTCACAGCCAGTTCTGAATGCCTACATTCCAGACTTGCATGCGGTTTAATTCGTTTTATACAAAAACCATGTTTACATCTCCTTGATTTAGTAATTTAAGATTTTTGCTTCTATTACTGTTTTACGATGGGAATGATAACCATAATGTCTATCTACTCCTTTTTTAACTCTTGCCAAAGCATCCCAAACTTTATTCCTTTAATATGCACTTAACATGAAAGGCCAGTACCTCCTTAACGCTTCACAAATATGCAGGGGCATAAAAAGACCAGAATTACCCTCCTTCAGATGTTGCTGCTTTCATAAAAAAGCACTTTAAATACTCTGCCTCTCCGGTTGTGTTAACAAAAAGTTATCTGCATTTGAAATACGAAGCCTATTTCGTAACAGAATTATGGCTTCTAAAACATCATGTGTTTTCAAGAAAGCCTTCGGTACTAAAAATCACAAACTTATGTAGGCTTGTACAGCTTTTAACCAGAGACCTGCCTGGTAGAGCAGACATGTTTTAGTGAATAATAATAATTTTAAAAAAAAGAACTACAAGAAATGGCAAAAGTAACTCGATTATTCAGGCAGAGCAGTGTGCATACAGGTGTTAAAACCTGGATTTCTGCTACGTGCTCCCATCACAGGGCTTCACATTAAAATAATGCCATTATAGCAGTAAGACTCCAACACTGCAGAAATTCCAATGTTTGCCTAACACCATTCACTTCACAGAAAAAAGGACCAGTTTTCCTAACAAAAACCATTGTTTGGTGTTCAAGACTAAGTGGAACAGCCTTTTGAATTTTCTTAAATATCTATTTAGCATCATTTAAATATCCATTAAATGACATTTGAATAAATGGGATTATTAAAACTAAGAAAGGACTCTGCAGCAAAAGCAAACCTCAGCCCTACGAGAAAGGATTTACAGTCAACCATTAAACATGTATTACTTTAAAATGGTCAAAAAATTAATAACCACTGAAACTGAATTTCATGTTTCAAACACCAGAAAAATCACAGCCCAAAGTTACCCACAGCATTCAGAAAACAACTTTTTATTTTTACATTTCAGATAACACTAAGCTTAATACTTCATTATTTTTCTGTAAATTTAGACTTCTAAATTCAGCTTTTCTTTCCTATTTTTGACTCTTATTTAATTAGGAAAACATGGTCTGTCCCTTCCCAATCCAGCTGTGTTTCTAATCCCCCTGGAAAATTTCTCCAGTGCCAGCTCAGTGTGGGTACAGAAGACAAGAACCTGGCACCGAGGACAAGAGGTTCCTGTACACCACCACAAAACGTTGCATACCATCAGGCACAATAAAGGCAGAGAAGAATCTTAATTTCAGCTTGAGGAACAGCAATATTTGTTCCAGTATCTCCATATAAGGTCTTCTCTAAGTCAACAAAGCCAGGCTGTTGCCAAATTCTAACCACAACATGAATTGGGGTTTGCATATTTAAATGCTGGCAACTAAATATTGCAGGATTAAAATGCTGGGTTTATGCGAGCAGTGAAAAATGGAGCGCAACCAAAACCAGAAGACTAAAGAGTTGGTGGTAACTCCAGCTTGCTACCAGAAAGAAAACCATACTATTGATTCTTATAAATTCTCCAATCGAAGTACAAAACTAGCAGATGCTTTGTCATGTCTGACATTTGCTAATCAGAACTGCTACCAGCTCTGAGCTAATTTCAGTTATTTGTATTTCTGAATTCTCCTATTCTAACTTTAGCCCTGCTTAAACAATAGAAAAATACCACCACTTCCACCACATGCTGCAATCTGAAGGGTTATAAAAGTTGCTTCTAGAAGATGACTGACTCATCAGCAACTGCTAAATGCTATTTGCTTGGGAAAATGGCATATTTAAAAATACTTACTGCCATCAGGACAGCAGCCTGCCACAGAAAGCAACCTTCTCCAGCACCAGAGCACAACCACCACTGGTGCCCAAAATCTGCTGGTTTAGGGTACATCTACCTAGCCCAAAGATGCACTGGATTTCCATTCTCCTACATTACAGCATCAGTTGAACATCAAAACCAAACCCACATTTTCAGAGCAACGAGGTCTGTACCTGTTAAAATCCAGGTCCACTTTGCAATAGTTGCCATTAAAGCCGTAACATCACCAACCACTCCAGTTGGTGTGACTTTCTCAGAACCAAAAACCTAGCAGTGTCTGTGTTAGTCCCCTTAGAGCTAAATTCGGATGAATAATCATAGGGGTAGCAATGAACTCCCAGGCATCCTGGGCGAGCCGGTAAAACAAGTTAACGTGTGAAGAGGCTTAAATAGTTCCTGCATTCACTGACAGATTCAAATTGCTCTTGAGTTTACTTACCTTAAATGAACTGTGCACTAAAGTTTCATCTAAATCAATGACCACACACTTCTTCCCATAGTCTGATGCTGTCAGTTCTGGCAGGAGGTATTTAGCTGGTGGCTAAAAGCAAAAAGAAGAGAGGAAAAGGACAAAAAACAGTGAAATCTCTATTGAAGGGGCACTCTTCTGCCAACATTACTACTCTAGTAATTACTGGGAACTGAAATGCATGACTCAAAGTTGAATGTTTCCTGGGCTCATTGCAAGAACATGTATGGAAATTAATGGCTCATGCAATACCCATACAGACTTTTTCTTATTTAAATGACTTGTTTAGAATGATCTCCAAAGCATTGGAAATAAAAATGGTAAAGCATCACCACTAGGTATAAAACAACAGCAAAAAATAGGACATTTGATAGAATATATATTTCCAGGACCCTCTTCCTAATGCCTCAGTTTTGGGTTGCTGTTGTTATCCTGTTCACAGGCAACACCATTTCCAGCCATATCACCCCGATGGACAACTACACAAATGGTTATTTCTGTTTGCCATGAAAGATGCTAAAGTGGAGAAATCCATCCTGAAGGAAGACAGCAGAATCACTAATTTTATCTTCCAGGACATGTCTCCACTCATTTTTACCACTTATGAGGGTGCTGACCAAGAGCTTTGGGTGAATTACATTCCAAATCCAGGTATTAAAATTGCTGGAAAGAAAGCTCTCTTAAAGCAGGCTCTCCTAGAGTATAGTGCCCTTAGTAAAAAATGGTACCAATTACATGAATTGACCATTTTTCTGCAAGCAATGCAGTCACGTAGTCTCCGATTGCTCATTCCCCACTTTAACGCCCCAATCTGCAACACAGTTCAGTTATTTTTGAGTTTTGGTACCGGATACTTCCTGAAGTAACAGAAATGGGAGAGAACGCTTCCATCTGGAGCTGAAACACTGCTGCCACCCACTTAAAGAGGTCTGGTGTTTTGAATTATTTTTTAATGAAAGAAAAGGACTAGCTTTATAGAGAAGTGTCAATAGGGAGAAGCTCAGGACTGAGAGGAAATTAATGAAGAATTGATTACAGAACTCTAAATTCATTATTTCGCTATCTCCTTATCTGCTCAGACAATGTTGCTCTGGCAAGGATGTGTCTATCATGATTTTTTGTTCTTTTACAGCCTTTTGCAGAGGTGCTCGCAGAGATCTTTGCCCACTGGCACTCTCCAGCAGCAACAACAGCTCCTTCATTAACCACTGATTAATTTTGGATGTCCTCTTAAGTTGACAGATGCCCAGTGATGACTCTTGTTTAAATAAAGTAACAAATAAACGAGATTCTGGACTGAAATAAAGCTGTCTTCAGCTAAAGTGTAAGTTATGGGGGGATTTTAGGAGCACTCACCCAAACTGATTTAATTCCTTACAATTAACATCAACAAGAGTGGCTTCAGCTACCAAAACAGAAGCTGCCTTGCTTACAAGCCACTTGTCTTAATACATTTTCTTTCAGCACACATTTAAATTACATTAGATTAAAAATAACTGCTGCTTAATGACTGTGAACTATCAGAGTCACCTAACTGAAATTTACAGGACACTTTTTAATGTTATTGAGAGTCCCACGTATACATCACTTCCACACCTTCTTGAGAGCTGCCTCTACTAGGACCACGTCTGAAGAATTTAGGTTTTCCACTCCTATTTCAAAACCTAAAACTTCTTTATTTAGGTACCCCACCTCCGTTTTTCATAGTAAGAATGATCCAGACTTGCAACCTAAATAGACTGAAATTTTATTGAAAGCAATATCCAACCCATTTACAGACAATAATCTTCACAACCCATGTTCTGATGCTGATTTCTTGTCTTTGAAGAGGAAAAGGAGGAACATCCCAAGTAATTTTAAATGGGGTTGGTTTTGGTTTTTTTCACAGAATAATTCAGTTCATTTCTGTACTCT